GGGAGATTACTTCTCTAAGCTAAAGTTAAATGCCAGTTTTTGGATAATCCCATGTACTACAACCAACCATTTCACCTCGCATTACAGGTATTCCTCCCACAGTTACACAGCAGCAGCTTAAATGGGCCTACTTAAACACTTTCAAGAGCGGGCAAGCCACTACATGCTCGCATACAATTTGGCTCAAGTGTGTCATAACACTTCACTAGAAAATGTGCGTGGACCATAGGTTACATGCCACATATGAAGCACTAGGATTAAGTTCCACTGTGGTGTTTTTTGATAGTGAGGTGCTCCGACCTTAAAGAGCAGCTCCAGTCTTTTTGTTTCTGTTCCCAAGATAAATCAAGGAAAAAGTACGAAGCAAGAACTCTACAACCTTTTGAACTTTCAGGAACTTCTTGAGTTTCATCCTATCCGAAATGAATTTCTTTTTTATCCAACATTGTGAAAACTTTTGTCTCGCCCCTTTTTGATCTCCTTCAAACCGTATTCATTGGCAATATCTGACTGGATTCTCTCTGTGATGCAATCAAACCGGCACATGAACTTTTTAGTGCTTTAACAGAGCTTTCAACAAAATCAACAGCTACCTCTTCAGCCCTTGAGGACAGACCTTTCCTGAATCCTGAGAACTGCTGCACATGGTGCACCCGACGCCTGAAACAGCAGAGTGGCGCAGACGCACCGTCAGCCTCCAAACCTAAGCCACAAATTATGTCTGGTACATGGAAAAGATCATGTGGCCCTGCAGCGGAGTAGGGGTGGTGAGAACGAGAAGTTTGGTGGTAACTGGGTTGGATTGGACGGATACGATTTGCATTCCTCTCCAGGGATGTGATATCGAGACAAGGTCAGACCAAGGCTAATACATGTGACTCTGAGGACAGGGAGGAGGAATCTAATATTTGCTTTTCACCAAAAATGACTCATTAATGTAGAAAACAACGCCGTTTTTGTTTTAATACTCCATCTTCCTCTACACCATTCACGTCTTTTTTGGTGTCTTGGGTTGGTTCATTATAAACATGCAGTATTTAAACAAAATATTGACTGCATATCGGTACATTTTGGATGCAACTACTGTATGGTATTTTTCCTTTCAAGGGATACCTCAAACTCTGTCAACATCCCATAGCACATTCCTTCTCATTTAAATAGACGGTGCGCAGACTAACCCCAACACCCAGAGGAGCTCATTGTAATTGCAAAGAAATGTAACACTGGAGGCTACCGCTCTAATCTGGACTGAGTATTCTAGTCACACTTGGAGTTGAAACAAAGGTACAAAAGGTTGACTTTTATGGATATCTGATCTGACCGCTCTCTAGAAGATCTGTAATATTAACATCTGAAATGCATTTTGAATTTATGTATGCATGTTAGCTTTGGGAAAGCATTAGAAAAAGCAGAGATGACGGTTAGGTAGTGTATCCCCAAGAGCAGGGAGGGAAAACTTTCCTGACAGCCTTAAGAGATTAGTGTCCATTACCAAACAAATTTCTGCTACCACCTACAACACTTATGACAGCCTTGGTTCAACCCACACAGGAGCCCTGGTTTGAAAGGAAAAACACACTTTTGTCCTGATGGCCATGTTCCCTCTTCACCAAATGAAACAAGCTCTGTTTTCTCGTTTGCTGGGTCAGAGAAGAGGGGGCGAACGTGTTTTAAGAAGGGTGTGGGAATCAATTATCCCACTGAAGAGACAAGCAGGACCAGTGGGTATAGCTCGGGATTAGTGTCCATTCTTGTCATGTACTGACAAACCCTCTCGCTGATCTCCTTAAACCAGGTGTTATTAAGAAGCAAGGCCCTTACTGGGGGCCTATAGGCTTTTCAATACCCTTTAGGATTGACTGACAAGCTTATAATGTCAAAAAAAGTGCATTCCTGTGCTTTCATGCACTCACCTGTGTGAACTCTCAAATGATATTGTGTGCGAGTCGAAAGTGAAATCATGCGCACTGTAGATTTATAAAACTAACAACCTCAGGACTGCTCTAACAAAGCATGTTTTGCTCAATACTGGCTTTTTTTTATTTCAATCAAAAACTTATAAAAGCACATTTAGTCTGAAGTTGAAAATAATGCCCTGTCAATTATCCGTCTGATTTAAATAAAGTTTTAGCTGGAGGCATGTTAGCTTCCTACTGAGGGCTACTACTGCCCTGGAATGAAAATATAGCATTACTTTACAGGCTACATTTGAGGATGCTAAGCTAATTCTGGGCCTTTAAGTTAACATTACTTAATATCTTATTCCCTCATCTATCAATTCAATCAGTCTATGATATGGTGACATAAACAGGTCAATCATTTGGCTTTAGTAAGTGGCTGGTTAGTTATTTGGCAAACTTAGCAAACAAAATGCAAAAAAACAAAACAAAAAAAACCAAACAATTTTGACTATTTTTGAATTCAACTTTGTGCCTGTCAGCAAGTCATAAACTCACAAATATGTTGTGCCCTGTAAAGAAGTTTCTCTGGGAAGACTAGACTTCAGGACATTGCTGCACTCAGCCAGGAATCAGTCCCACCTCAGCTTCAGGTTTTGGTACATCAAGTAGCTCCAGGAAGTTGCACGATTTCTACGATTTGTGAGGTACTTACATTAGCTACTGTGAGCTAAAGCTGCCCAGGTAGTTTAGCCATTAGTAAATCTATTCATTTTGACTTTTCTACTGTTTCCCTCAGTTATCTGTTTTATTTTGTTGGTGATCAGGGACTAAAAACTGTTTTGTTTTGGTTGCTTGTCACGGCACATCCAGCAGCAGCCAGAAGCTGAGTCAGCAGTTTGGCTTCTACTTTAACTACTGAGAACTGCTGAGACTAGCTATGGTATTTGAATATTATTCTGGTGTTAATGAGGTTATTACTAACCGTAAGAGAATCAACAGGAATTTTCCATCACATTATATCTGTGTCCTCATATTCAAAGCTGATTTTTAGTGATTATGATCTATAATTATGTGAAACTTGGAACCATATTTATCGATTTTGCTCCCTTTGCTTCTGTAATTGAGGTGCTATTTTGTTTACCCACGGTAAAACTTGGCCTCGTGAAGCCGCTGTTTGTGTGTTCCTGCAGTTAATGGGCTGTATATTCTTTTCTATTAGTAATGAATAGACTTCAACCTGATTCCTGGCAGCAGCACTCCCCAGGTGTAGCTGTGAAAACTTGGATCCTTCCCAAGTTCAGATATCTGTCTCTCTTTACGTGCCAGATATCAAGGTGTGTGTGGACAGAAAAGACGTCAGGTGGTAGCTGAGCCATTGAAAGTTGTTTACACAGGAGTTAAGCAGGTTCATCTCTGACTAAAGACATGCTCAGGTGAAAAACAAACTGAGGATTTTATTTACAAATCAACATGTCATCTCTCTCCATGAATTCTTAAAATGGATTTTTGTGTGTGTTCATGCTTTAGAGTCTGAGGCTGTGGATATTTCTGAGTGGATATGCATTTAAATTGTTTCTGAGAAGATTTAATCAACTTTTCATGCCTTTTTTTAAACCCACAAGTTTGTCCAAAAAGAACAAGATGATGATATTAATCTCAGATCTTGTGTTGATGTTGTTTGTAAAAGACTCCAGTGTTGCATTAAATGTTCAGTAAGTCTGTAGAGTTTGCATGTTAGAGAGGGTTTCCTGTGACAATAACAAAATGTTTCGGTAATCTCCTGATCTTATGCAATCTAATGCGTAGGAAGAGTAAATATTTTTCAAGAGCAGACCTGTGAGAGAGTTCACATTACTTGCCAGAATGATTGATAGTTTGCCAATTGATTTATGGTGCCCAATATGATATTTTGCAAAGTGATTAAAGTGTTCTTCCCCTGCTCTTGTGAAATCGCCTACAGTTAAATTTGTGGACAAATTCGCTTTCTTCTTTGTGAACTGCAGATGAACTCACCTCAGTGTTTAGGAGAAGTGTTGCTGTGTACTGTACAAGGCAAGACCAGACTGATATTTAACTCCAACAGGCAATCTTTAACCAAAAACCATTCAAACAAGGAGCCTTATTTTCCAGTGTGTGACGTCTTTTTGACACTTGAAGTGCAACCAAACATGCCGCCTTGATTAAAAATCGGAAACTATGTCAATAAATGTTTAAAAAGATTCAAGTAAAATTAGACTGAGTCAGCCCAAAAATGAAGCAGTGATTCAAAAGGAATAGAGAGTAGGACACAGAAGTTGTCATTCAAGAAAATAGTCATCCATTACCTTTACAGCTGTTTCTGGTATAGGATGAGATGATGTCAGTTTGTTAAGAACCATTAATAGTTTAAATTAATGACAAAATGCACCAAATCAAGACCTTAATCCTGTAAATAATGTAATTATACAATATGACAGAATATAAAAACACTGAATGCTGTACCATTAAAAATGTCCTGACTTGAGACTGAAAGCTTAATCATGTACAAAGTTATTTTTTCAACTCGAGGTTCTCTTCCGGAGCTTTCACATTAGTGACAGTCTTCTTAGTTTTCTTGAGAGAGTTGGGATGTCCTACAGTAACAGTCATTTTAATGCCACTTAAACACTAATTTGACATCTGTCTAGCTAACCTTGTCAAAACAGACAGAAAATAGTCAAAACCAAACACAATTAACTAATAGACTGCAGTTTCTGAGGGTCAAATTGTGGCTAACACTAGCAGAGCTAGCACCGCCAGCCTCCAAAGGTTAACATCCACGAGCCTGTGCTGGTTACACATTACTCTGGTCTACCATTTTAATCTGACACAGCCTTCATGCAGCTTGATCTCCATTTTCTAAATGAAAATACTACCTATAGTGGCATGCTACATGATGCCCTCCTGTAGTTGGTACTTGTTTACAACCAGGCAGTGAAATATTTGTTTGCAACATTAGGGCAGTAGCCATTAATCGAGTGGTGGTGGCTGTGCTACAGCTTAAACACAGTTTTGACAATTAAAAAGAGGAATAATATTTAATAATTTATACATGAATAACATATAATAACATAATGACCACTTTAACAACAGGTGTCAACTCAATCATCCAAACTAGAAGACTAAAGGTTACCATTCCTTGTTGAAAGTAGACTTGGTGTGTAACATACATACTTAAATACAATATTGTTGGTGAGGTAAGTTATGTCTAAACACCATTGAGCCAAAATGAACAATTTTAAAGTCATTTAGTGTTGCTGCAACAACTTTTCTTCCAGTCTGGACTTTATGTGTGATGTAGTATGAGCTTGTTACACCCTTTGGTCCTGCCTGTGCTGGATCACACAATTTCAGGGTTCATAACACTAAAAATAAACTGTCACTCACTGAGGGTAAACAAGTATTTTATCATTTACAGTCCCCGCTCAGACTGCCCTCAGTCTACACAAACTCTGACTGCATGCTGCTTTAAACTCTGTCAGAGAGGAAACTGCCTCACAAATCATAAATTCGGACGACTGCGAAGATTTATCTGCATGAAACGTGATATTGAATCACTTCAGCTCTCTCTGTGTTGCTATATTTCTCTCTCTCTCTCTCTCTCTCTCTCCCTCTCTCACTCTCTCTCCTCTCTCTCCTCTAATGGGAGGAGCGCAGCGCGGTTCCTCTCTGTATAAGAAGTGTTGAACGTTCAACAAGGGATTTTACACAGCTACTCAGGAGAAACGAGATGATCTGCCCTGGAGCCGCAGCAAAATGCTGGATGGACACCTACTCCTGGGATGGTTGTCGTTCACAGTTATAGTCTATCTTCTCAACTTGCCTGGACCGACGGCTGCATATTTCGGGTAAGGACTGACAGACACTGATATTCAGTGATGCTGAATCCATTGATTTGATTGGTTCTTTACGCAGGTAACAACTTTTTCATCATCTTTGAACTCTGCGAAAGTTTATTTGGATCCAAGTTTATGTAGTCAATCTACAACGAGTCAAACCCTTTACCTTTCTTATATTTTGATTGTTTAATGAAGTTCTTGACCGCACTGATACCTGTGGGGGGTCGGAGAGGTGTCTGTACGCGGCGGTTACGCAGCGCACAGCTGGTGCAACAGCAGCTGCAGGTTGTCTGCGCACGATCTGGCCTCGCTGTTTGTCTCCAAAAAGTAGAGTAAAAGGTATTAATACACTCAACAATGTCTGTAATAGGTAGATGTACTCAGCAACGGAGTAAATTTGGCCCGGTAACTCACCTCATACTTTCCCTGACAATTGAGCCAGCGCCCACTGAAACGTTACCCCTCTCGCGCGTAAATAGCGTGTACTGCAGTGTGATTATTTTGTTGAAACAACTTGTAAAGTCATATCCAGAAAACAGCCGCGGAGTGAAAGGTGAGTGTAGTCTATATTATGCCTCAGACTCAACAGCTGGTAACAATAAAGTAATCTGACTGACTGAACTGGTGGCCGAAACGTCTGCTCAGCTTGCACAGAAAATTCCCCTATCCAGCATAAACATCAGACAACTCTCTCAGGGTTTCTCTCTCTCTTTTTTTTTCTGCTGCCTCCATCAACTTTAAAAACACCAGGAACACGTGTTAGGAAATGAATCTGAAACTTTTAGCTTTTCATAACGCATGTAATATTGACAATAATGTTTAATTCTGTGGGAGTATGAGGGTGTTGATTTCAAAGTCAGTCATTCCCATGCAGGGAACGCCTTGGGTTTTTTAGGTGTAGCCCACTATGACCTCCACTTCAGAGAGGCTGTTAATTCACTGAACCCTGGTTTGTCTGCTCACCTAGACGGCACTCTTGTTATTTTCTGTCTCAGTCAAAATCAAACAAACATATACACATATTCATTTATTTTCCCTGCAGTAAAGCAATCCTAGTACAAATGAGGTCAGCATGTCAGGGGGGTGAGGGCAGTTGAGTTTCACCTGGAACTGATGATCTTAAGGTAAAATAACCTCCAAAAGACGTTGATATTTTTGAAGTTGACAGAACATAACGCATCTGAATACCATGAGAAAGCGTCTGGGGTTTTCCTGTAGCTCTATAAGTATCTGTGTTGATGGGTGTTGTTAGTGCTCTCCTTGGCTGGGAGCAGTGTAGACACACATAGAGACAAATGGCTGTGGACTGCGGAGTGATGACACTTGAAGCCTTTCCAGCAGAGTCAAATTTATGGGAGGTATGGGTGTTGTGCAGGATCCAGGAGTGTTAGGTGATCTGGGAACTGTTGTGAATCTGCAAGAGAGCACAGACAGTGTACCCTGAGGGCCTGTTAGACTGGTCGACCCTTTAGAAGGATGGATTGGCTGGTCTGAATAAGGTTTGGCGGTTTAAAGGATTGCCTAAATAGCTTTAAAAAGTCCCGATAAGTATTGAAAATGAATGTTTGGACCATTTTGAAAGTTATAGTCGCAGGTTTTTCACTTCTCCGGGCGAATGTTGTTCTCTTGGGACATTGAGGAGATGCAAACATGCTGGATTGGCCTTGAAGTAACTTTGTGCGATGGACAAATCTCAGCCCTTCTCAGTGAAATGTCATCACCAAATGCTCAGGCGCATATCAAGCACTTTGTCTGTCTTTGGTTTCAGCTCTGAAGTTCCATTAGAAGGACAAATGTAACCCAGCTCTTCCTCTGTTTCTATCCGCAGGAGTGTCGCCCTTTGCGGTTAGTATGTATCAAGCTTGACGTGCCAAATCGCAGTGATCCTAAATGGTAATGCATATTTACCTGTTCAGTTAGCTCTTGTTTTCACTGCGGCCATTGTGGCAAAAGAGAGAGACACGTGGAATTACAATAGCTTAGATTTTTTATTCTGTGGTCTTCGAGGAGGGAATATGAATGAGTGTCAGTGAATGATTTAGCCCTGCAGCTGAGGAACACAAAACACACTGAGAGTGCCTGCACAGGTGACACAGATTCAAAATGTGACCGCCCCGTGGCCAACTTCCCAGAAACTCAACACCAGTGACACTCGGGCACAGTCCTGACTGCGGGACACACTCACACAAAACCTGTGCAAATAAATATTCCACGAGCACGAGGCATCCCAGGGCCTCTTGAGTACTGATTTACTCAAAATAGAGGGTCAATGTTGCATACCCAATTTCCAGAGTGCGGTGGAGCGTAAGTGTAACATAAACACAATCTCTCCTGCCCATAGTCTGCGCAGTCGAGGGTGGGGTGGGATTCCTGGCGTAGTCAAGCACCCGCTTAAATTGTCATCCTTTGCCACAAGAATGTGAGCGCTCATTTTCTCTCCCTCAGCCCGCTGTGGCAGGTGCTGGTCATGCTAAATCTGTTATCATTTGACTTTGAATTGCAGATACCTTCTCAGTTTTCCGTGCTTGACTTAATAGGTAACAGCACCTTGATGAGATATTGCATAAACCGTCTGAGGAGGAAGTGATTTGCATGCTTGTTTGATCCTCTCAGAGTGCACTCAGGCAGCTCTGTTGGTTTAAATTTGAGTTTTGGTGAAAGGCATGCCATTCTGTGGTCTTGTAAAGTGTCCTGAATGCGAGTCCTAACACTGAGTCAAGAGTTTGTTTTTATTTAGTTCATCTGCGACACATACAGGAAAGCTGCCCACAGTCATGCAACTGGGATTTACCTGTCACCAAGGCAACCGCAGCATCCGGAAGGAGCAAATATAGCGGTTGCTGTTTAATTACTGCAATATCCTGAAACTTCTCTCATCAGCCTGGTCGTGGAGTGGAGCTGCTGCCCTATCAGATGGCATCATTGTTTTCAGCGCTCCATTAAGCAAGGAAGTACGCCAAAAACAACAGGATAACAACGGGGATGTGTGTAAATTTACAGAGGAGGAGGCATTTCTCAGTGTGCAGCTGTAAAAGCTTTTTATCACTCTGCTGAATTAGCTCCTGGTGTGCATCAAACGGCCGCGTGTTTTAAAGTTTAAAGGCTCCTCATGTTTTTTATCCCGGCAAAGAAATGTTACAAGTTGTTTTTAAAGCAGCTCCATTTAAACAGATCCTCTGGTTCCCTCCTCTCTCGCCTGTCTGCTGGTTCGTCTGCTTCATGTGCGTGCCGGCATCCCTGCAGCGGTTTGTGGGGAGCTGCTGGGTGATTACCACTCATTAGGAGCAGCAGAGTTAGTGCGGGCTCAGGCTGGCGTTGCCTGGCAGACAGTGGTGGCGGGCGTCTCATTACTGGGGCCTTAAGGACTGATTAGGCCTGACGGGCAGCAGGGCGGGGAGCACCGCTGATAGAGGGATTTCCCAACTTCATAGGATATCCTGCAGCTATAGCCACACCTCAAAGGGTATCACTTTACTGTGAGCCAAGTAGATAGGATTCTCTCAGCACAGGCGCTGTGACCGTGGAGCGTGGTGAGATCATGCAGACCTGCAGGCTTAGATAACAGGCCTGTGGAAAAGGAGAGCTTTGTTTTCTTTATATTTCTGTTTGATACATCTGGATTAGAGCTGAGCCGGGCTTTTACTTTGAGTTCTCTGCTCTGGTACGTCCCCGTATGATGGAGAGGCCTGCAGTGCCGGGTGGATGCCACAGGAGGGTGCAGCACCGTGTGAGAGAGAAGGACGCTCCTCAATCAGCACTTTGTGACCTTTCAGTGTAACAGGAGGAGAGTGGGAAATGAAATGTGAAAACGTTAAATTTAAAGGCAGCCAGGTCAGAGTGAAAATAAATTAGGGAAGAAAAATACTGTTTTTTTTTTTTTTTTACATGTGCTTACAGTTGTGGTTAGTGTGCATGACAAGTTCAAAGTGTCTTTCAACTTCAGCTCAGGAGCAAAACTGCAGCTGTCTGCACAGGATACCGTGTTTGATGCACAGTGCTTTTATTTATTTTACAGGTTGAATCATCAAAAATCCCTGAGAGGAGTACGCATCTTTGTTTTGAGGGTTTTAGTGGTGATCAGAGTGAGTTTTTAGAGGATTTAAAATGTATAATTACATGTCTTTGGAATATTTGTAAGGATCACTCAGTTTGGTATATCTCTGAAAAATGTTTGGCCAACTCTCCTCGTGTCATCAGCACGCCAAAAAGACCGCGGCTAAGACATATTTGATTTTAATGGACTGCTCAAAGGGTCAGCTGTGCATTTTTATTGGTGGATAGTTGAAGACATGGAAGGAAATTCTTGTTCGAGGAAACTCTTGTTGGTGAAACATGATGATCTTTGCAGATGGAGCAGGAGACATGGGCAATTTGCAAAACAGGAAAACTAATAAAGGCTCAAGATACATTTAGTGGTCAGGAATTGATGAGATGATGCTAGTTAGAGTAACCACTACGTCCTGTGTTTTCCATCATTGACCACAGGCGTTTTTCTCTGGGAATAGAAAAGACCTGGCACCTCACATGTGCCAAGTTTAGCCGATAGACAAACCCTCACTTAGACTGCTGGAGAATATCAACATTTCTCATGTCAAACTTTATCTTTTTTTTTTTTTGCAAGTTTGGATGATTTAAAACGTGTCTTTTTGCAGCCGCCTAGATACAATCTCAGTTTTTTATTCCATGCACCTGTATGAGGAGATTTACAATTTCATAAAGGATGAAAGAAAGTGGACCATCCCTTTTAAAAACTTTTGCAGCACTTTATCAGAATGATCATCTTGCATAAACACACTCCTATGGAAGCCTGACCCGGCATGCACTCAGATACTTCCCTCGATTATGTGAGTTTGCAAAACGGATATTATGAGCTGAAGTGAAGTTTGACCCAAAAAAGCATTTTTGAGCTTTAGTTTTAGGATGGACACAGGCAGACACTCACTGACATGGATGGGCCTGGGCATGGCGAATGCTCTTTGCTGTGATTAACCCTGGAGGAGATTCTGTTTAGGTGGAAAACTTGCATGACTTTGAACGAGTTACTGCTGCTTTAATCATCAGTCAATTGTCAGGAAACCATCTTTTTTACTTCAGGCCATAAATAAGGCGTGCTTGTTCTCGGAAAGTCATGCTTTTAAAATTAACAACACATCCCATCTTTGTAAAAACACCATGACAGCGAGTGTTTGAGCTTCGGTTTATCACAGCAGATCAAATACATGTTGCAATTTTTGATTTTCAGATTTTAGCCGTGTGGGTCTTTCAGGCAAAAACCTAATCTGTTAGTAGTGCGAGTAAATAACTGCTAATATACCCAGCCACTTGCAGTTACTGAGGCATGAGCGATTCAAAACAGCTACTGTTTTGTTTTGGATTTTGTGGTTTGACTCTGCATGCTCAGTTTATTCTCACAAGTGCTTTCGCCCAGCATATGAGGAGTGAACAAAACCTGGCGTTTCCAGTCGCTGCACAATTTCCAATATCTGCTTTACAGAATTACACCAAGTTTAGAGTCTAAGTGTTTTGCTCTCTCACCAAACAGCCGCAGTCTGGGTCTTGTGTCAGCATGTGCGAACCGGTGCGAGCGGCGTACAGTATGTGTGCCTGAACGTGTTTGGTACAGGGTTGCTCAGTGCCATGGTGTAGGCTAGAACAGGGGAGTCATGTGGACACCGCTGCGCGCCCAATCTGTGCCAGTCACACAGTGACTATAACTGAGCTGCTGACCTTAGAAGCCTTGAGTTCTCACATAGCAGTTAAACCTCTTACCATGCCCCACACTCCCCTTCCCAAACCGGCCGTCCTGCAGTCCCACCGCTCAGCTACCACCAGCGCTTGCATGCACGGCTGTGGATTAAAAAATTAGGCTAAAGTATAACTTCCCCCCTTTTTTTGACAGCAGAAATAGAAAAATGTTTATGTAGTGGAAAAGAAGTGAGTCAGAACATGTTGACTTTAAAGAAAATTTAATGCATCTGTCATGCACATTTAAAGTCTCCACAGAGGACACGAACAGGAACTTGACCTGATCAGTCAATTACAGGGAGTAGTCTGACATGGCCTGTGTGGGTTGTAAATGACCAAAAGGGACAGCAGATGATATAACATTGGGTCATTTCCTGTTAAGTCATGCAAGATAGCGAACTTTTCCCCCTCTCACATTGTGAATAGCCGCACTTCTAGATGTTGCATGAAATCCCCACTATGCAGAAAGGCTCATTACTCAACCAGTAATGACTTGGTAAGTCTCAGGCCTGCAGGGCTGCTTTGTTTTCAAAGTCGTTTTGTCATGTTACTGTACTGTGTCAGTCACAGCTTGTTAGGAGTAGTCACAACACCCCCTGCTTTCAACCGGTGACTAATCTTATCTTAGCCTCATACATAATGCTTTACTCTTTCCCCTATTTCTGGTTTTAAAGGCTTGGAGTGTGAGCAGTGTCACCAAGGCTGTCAAGGAGAAAATGTCCGAGTTTTTTGACTCGTTGGAGACGATACAAGAGCTGGAGACTCTGTGTTCCAGAGAGACATCGAACCCTGATTCACGGTTTCTTCAATTATTCACGTTTTTAGATTTAAGCTGTGGAGAACATTGTCAGCCATAGTTAGAGTGGGCCCAGAGGGAAAACACCACACACACACACTCACTCACATTCCTACAACCTCTGGCATGGCTCGGGCTGTGATACACCAGATGGGACTTAGGCAGGGTGGTCTGAAGTTCATCCAACATTTCTGAGAAAAGCACACACATTTTCCCCCCCAAAAGAAGCATTTTACTCACAGCTAAGGAGGGGGAGGAAAAAAAATGAAATTGAGAGCGGAGATCAGCAGTAGTGAGTTTAAATTCTTCCAAACACTCTTTAGATTTTTAAAAACATAAACAGATTTATCTCAGGTGTGCTTAGCGGTTTGTCTTCCTGACACATGGACATGTCTGTCATTGTCTGGTGAAGGTCACATTCACAGACAGCAGTGGTTTTGTCTAGGAGAGGTGTTGTTTTGAGCCAACAGCTGGGCTGTATGATTGGCATACGTTTGGAGTAACTGACCGGTGGGAATAGAGGAAGGTCGAAGAAGAGGGGGAAAGGAAGAGGAGGAGGAGGAGGAGGAGGAGGAGGGGGGTACATTGTGATGTAGGTGACACCAGACCACACAACCTGCAAGTCCAGACCGAGGGAGAAACTGCAGCTTTTGTGCTTTTTCTGCCTGGACGCATTCAGCCATGACTGACTCTTGTAGGTGTTGACTTAAGGTAATAAGTGCCTGTATGCATGTGCATATGCACGCATGCACACACACGTGTTCATTTAGCTGCATATACAAACCAGCACCTGTTAGTCAAGTGGACAGGAGAAAATAAACAGACACTGGCTGAAAATCAGAAAAACACTTTTTCTCATCTCAGCTGTTTTCCTTCTTATCTCCAGATTTGAAAAATAACGCCGTGATAGAGATATGCGAGCTTTGGTAACTTGATGTTGATGTTTCAGAAATGTAGATAGATTTTGTAAGAAACCAGACTAATGAAAGCCTTTCATTGGGAATCATGAAAGCACTGATCATAACTTGGGGTGAATAAATTAAATAGGACAACTTGAGAAAGATAGAAAATGTGGAAAGAGAGAGAAAGAGGGGGATAACATGCAACATATCATGTGCAATGAGGACTACAGCCTCTCTGCTGAGCTAAATCAGTTCCCTTACTTTGAACATTATTGATTGTAGGTACTGGATGGGAATTTTTCTGGGTTATTTCAGTGGGTTGTGCAGATATTGCAGATAACATACTGTCGAAATAGTCTCTAAAGTGAGTAAAAATCAGAGCTTTATCGTGGATTCTAAGAAATGAGAGTTAAAAAAAAAGTTTCATGTCAGGTTTAACAAACATCGACCAGCTGTGACATTATGAACACGGGCAACCTAATGTAACAGCTATACCATAAATTCCACTTTTATGATTCTTTTGCCTTTTCAGTTTTTGATGACATGTTCTTAAAATTAATTGCTGAAGTTGTAGTGGGTGTTGGTCGTGGGTGTTCTACTCTCTCTGATGGGCTGCTTTGCTCTTACAGTTCATGAAACGTCATCAGTATTAAATTCAACGTATTTTACTAGCTGCTTAAAAAACTCACAGGAGCCTCGAGTTTTTGTTGATGCAATTGAGCAGGTGCAGCTCTGAAGTCCAGACAAATTTCCCCAAAGGAATCGTATCGTATCGGTATTGTATCGTATCGTTTTGTATCGTATCATTGTTTTATATGTTTGTGCTATGAGCTTAAATCAGCTGCTGTATTATCCAATTTGATGCTACAGGTACTCTTTTTTTATGTCGAATTACTAATTAACCATAAAATCAATCCTTACAACATCCTATATCCAGGGTGACATCAATTTTAGGTTCCACCAGGAGTTCAAAGCAAAGGTCCCCAACCGTTCATGATCAAAAAAAGTAGCACCACCTCTTTGTTCTGAAAGCTGCAACCAGCGATTAACACATTTTTCCAGCACTACATCTAATGTATGTTAAGTTTTCTGCCCTGACTGCTTTAGCCTGCTGAGATTAATCCATACCACATGGCCTGAGCTGCCATTGTATATATATGTGCTTGTTTGAGTACATGAATAACTCCATCAGTTATGGAGTAATGTGCAATTGTTCCCAATACACAAAGCAGGCACTTTAATAAAGCCAAAAGCTTGAGGTAATAGAGGTGACATGTTTTCCAATAACTTAAAGTTTAGGTAATGTCACACTCCCTTTACTATTTGCAAACCAAACCAGGCAAGAACAAGCAGAGGTACCAGCTAAGGGTCACTTCCAGGGCTGTAATGTAAAGCCAGAGGAGGGGGTGATGAAGGCGAAGTTTAGTGCTAGTCAATGATTTCCTCCAGGGATCGACCGTGAGGCTCCAGGGTGTGAAATGAACCGTTTTCACTGAACCCTCTGCGTTGGAAAATGTATATAAAGTAAATGTCACAGGCAATGGGAGGTGCTGACAGGTGGAGAGAAAGGCCTAAACAAACTGCAGTCTTACCAAGTGAAAGACGGAGGAGGAGTAGGAGGAGGAGAGTGGGTCAGCGATGTCTACGAGGAGTGTGTACAAGCGAGTGTGCTGCGAGTGGAACAAAAAGCAAAGCTGAGCAAACATCAGCAGGAATCCCACCTCACATAGGATAATAATGAGTTTTATACACGTGTTGGTGTTATATTCCACGAGTAATTGGTGTTGCTGTGCCAACACTTCCAACAACCCCTCAAACAAAAACACCTACACAAAATGGTCTGTGATGTGAAAACATGGACGTACTTGTTAATAGTGTGTAATAGTGGGAAAGGATGTTATCTTTATCTGTGTATCGAGCAGATTTGTTTTGATATGGCTCTTGCTCTCGGTTAAGCATTTTAGTTATGTTCTACACATCAATCGTTAGATGGACATTTTGTGTCACAGAAATATTTATTATTGGTTCATAGTTTAGGATTGGGGATCATATCTCACCTTTGACTCTGGACAGATGGATACAGATCATTAAATTAAACAAATTTACAAGTACAACATTTTTAACAGTACCAGAGTGATCAGGATTTGCTTACTTTTACTCGTAACTTTCAGAAATATGTGAAAATAGTTCAACAGGAGATCTACTCATGGTTTCTTACCTCGCTGTCAGAGAGTGTCATATATGTAGAGTCATAGGGTCAGGGAAAGATGCACTCAGACAATATTATTTGGGATGATCAAATCTGAGTGCATTATTTGGGATATTTCAGGGGTGCCAACTTAGTTTATATACAAGGTGGACAGCCACTTGTGACCCTTTGCTGTATAGTCCACCCTATCCTGCCACTGTCCTGCATAAAAGCCCATTTCCCCACAAAACAGCAAAAAGTTACTAGATATTACAGCTGAAGAGAAATGTTTGAAACCTGCGTCTGATACTGTATTTCTTTGCCTGAACAACTGCCGACACAGAAATGACTTTTACAACTGATACCACTGAACAGCTTTACAGATGAATTGCACATTGTTTTTTCCAAATAGCAGCGCTCTTTCAGCCAGCATGAGTCGTAGCAAGTAAAATAAGTCAGCATCTGCCCATCACACATTTAAAGCTTGTTCAACTATAATCACGAAAAAGGCGTTTTTTCACTGTTTGTCTGGTCGATGTTTAACAAAGGCTTCCGTCCTGCATGATTACGTTCCCGGTATTTCTTGCATCTTTTCCATATGACAAAAAGGCAGTAATACTAAAATGCACAGAACAGAGCATTTGTGTTTGGAGTAAGTAATTCTACGACAGGTTCTCTGTGGTACAGTTTTAATCTGTATTTATAGAGAAAATCTGTTACACAGCCCTGAAACTCTAAGTTGTTCATAAATGCATATTACTGAAGGACTGTGGTCATGCCGTTAAATCAAAGTGACAGTAAAATATCTGTCTCTCTAAATCATCAGTAAATTTCCCCTCATAAAGGGGACATGATTTAAATATTGTCCCAAATTTTCAGTGAGAAACTCCTGAATTTTCCAAGTTGACATGTTGATTCTGCAGATGCTTGTTTTTCTTTCTTTTCTCATAAGTGCGATCATCGTTTTTGGAAAACACAACCTTGATGTTCAATTTGACCCAGGATTTCAAGTTCAGATCTGTAATGACTTTCGTGATCCAGCCATGACTCTGTTTTTGTAATTCTCCGTCTCTCGCTGCGAGTTGATCGAGTTCATGCTCCTGCAAACAGCGGGGTGATATTTTTTTTTTTTTGCAGATCATCATGTAGGAATGTGTGACCTTTTGGAGTGACAGAAGTACAGCATCCAGAGAAAATGTTGTCTTTAATATCCAGATCATTTTAAATTAAAGAGAATGATTGAACCTGCTCTTTATCTTGTGTAAATAAAACAGGACATCTGATGATTATGAGATTTGTAAAGGGTATCAAAGTGGGAAAATGCAGAAAGGAGTTCGCCTTAGCCAGAAGAGTCTTTTCAGGAGACATTAAGTGTTTCTCCGCTCTCAAATCTCCCCTCTTCACTTCGCCCCCCGGCTGTCTGTCTCTGTAACTGGCAAGAAAAATGCCTTTGTGTAAAAAAGCTGCAGAGACAGTAGCGCTGAGATCAGTGTCATGTCATTTTTGGCCTCCCTCCAGCAGTGCTCAGACCATCTTTGTGTCTCAGACAGGCAGACGTCACACAGACAGTTGAGGTCTGTCACTCTGACGGTCTGGCAGGCATGGGGGCTTCTGGGGGATTTGCACGAATTCAAATTACCGAGCATGTCTGCTTGAGGAATGTCCACGTCACTTTAATGGAATTGAGTAACCCAAGACTTCCATTTCTCGTTTGTATCTCTGTCGAATTTCAAATTAATATAGATTTGTAATAGCAATAACAGACACGCGGCGTTTCCATCCATCAGTTCAGTCAAGTTTTATTTATTCAGCGTGGAAAGAAAAATGATTATTTCATGACACTTCACCGAAAGACCCAACAGTTATCCACCGGTGAGGGTGACAGTGGTGAGGAAAAACTTACGATGGTATCCTGAGCCTTGAGCAGAACCAGACTAATCTATGAGAAGCCATCTGCCTTCACTGAATGCTCCTTTAAAGTGAGAAAGAGGGTTCGGCTGAAAGGAAGAAATCTGAAATATTTCTGGGATGTTTCCTGGACTCATGGACTCAGGCAGGTACTCCACGTGGCGCCATCATCTAATGCCTGACTGCCTGCCTGCCTGCCAGTAATGTTGTGAAACGCTTGTCAGTCAAATGTAACTTTCTGGGTCAGCTGAAATAGTTTGTTTTGGCACTTGGACTATATTTCTTGTTTGATTGCTCCATGTATTTTAACAAAGCTCAACACCAATCGGATGAAATATCCCAGAGAGACACACACCTTATGTCTTGTGTTGTCCTCGCTCGGTGCGCCTCTAACCATGCATTTTTTTTTTAACTCTAAGTGTGTTGGGAGAGCGATCTCTGTCAAGACACAGCTTGCCAGGTTTCCATTTCCAAACTCAGAGCTGTCAGACAGGTTAAAGAAAGGCAAACACGCTTTGTAAAAAGGAAACCGTTTTACCCAATCTGAAAGCAAATCCCGATGCCTCCTTTTTGATTCGACTGCTGGGATTTTTAACCAGGCTGTGAATGCATTATGAAGACAGCGTCTTACAGCATGTGCAAACTATTAAGCCCATTGCTATGAAAGTGAGGACTCCAGGGGTCACTTACAGGACTTAATAAAACATATCTTTTGTTGATGAACTGCCTTGACCCTTTGCGAGAGGATGAAGTGAATATGAGCGGTGACAGAAAATTCTGTTAAAAAGGGTGATGAATTAAAAAACGTAAGTAATGGAGATCAGCAATCATCACATATGGTTTATTAACTAAAGAGGTGTGGACATCCAACAGGCGCTCCGCAACTTAATGATAATATTGTGGAATCATTTCTATTACAGCTCCGTACTGAACCAAACTGTGTGTGTGGTTTGGTTACTCTTGTCCGTATTGGATTTGTCTGAAATTAAACAGCTGTTTTTGTACTTTTTATAAGCAAAAAAGATGGATACCTAATCACGATTAGTCTGGAGTTTCCTTATAAGACATGTACTACTCCATAGGTGAGTGAAAATATATGTTTGTCGGACCAAACTATATTCTGAGATATTCAAACTCATCGTGAGATTCTTCAATCTTCGGTTTTACAATATTTTTAAAGAGAGAGAAAAAAAAGGGTTAAACAATGGAGAGAGAATCAACAGATAAAATGTCTGCATTATGTCTATGCAAACTAAGTCAAGGTGCGTAAAAGTCCATCTCCAAGGACTTGTGCTTTTGTGACTTGTGTAAAGCCGTTTATTCCTCAGTTTCACTTTAAGGGTGTAAAGGAGGCCAGAAATTCCACATAATGAACAACTATGGTGCCAGTCCTGTCAGATGGTGTGACCGAAATGGTCACAGTCTGACAGTCATGTCCCCTGAGTGTGTGCTTATGAGAGTAATGCTCTGCTCTCCCCATCACAACCTCAGAGCGCTGGTCGTGGGTTACACCAGCTATGTGGCAGTCGTTTCTTTGTGTGTTTTTTATACACTTCCCCTAAATAAACTGAGGAGAGCCAGTCTACCACATGTCCTGTATACCGTGTTTAGACTCATTTCTTTTGCTTGTTCTGTGTCAAATTGATTGCATCTGCGTCCTGGTGACTTGACTTTTGCTTTTGGTTTGGACGATGAGAGTGTTAATCCTGCGGTGTGAGCATATATACATCTAGACTGTGATACCCCACAGGATATGATGCAATTATTAAACCATGTTTTAGCTGGATGTCGCAACATGTGCATGTGGCATGACTGTGTCCTTACTATTGATTCAAATATGCCCTCCCAGCTAAATGTTTTATTACTTCATTTTGTGCCTCATAATTCGATTGTAACGTAAATCTGACATTTTCTAAGATTCACAATGCTCCAAAGACTGTCTGCTCTGACTTAAATATTGTGTGAAGTCCAAAAAAAAGGGATTGAATATCGTCAGGATCTTCATAAGGAGAGAAAGAACTCGTGCACCTCTGCAGAGAGTACACACAGACACTCCTGTGCAGGAGGTTGATCTTAATCTCCAGCAAATGTTGAATTCCCCTGAACATTAACCACTGAACAGCTGAATCCATCTGAACATTAACCAAACGTCTGAGCATTATATGCCCTTTCAGACTTCCTGAGCTGTTTATGTAGTATATCTCTGTTACTTAAACTGTTTATCCAGGAAGGTCGGCATCCTGGTCTTTATTGGAACCTTTTATCAAGATATATCCTCTACCTCCCTGTCCCTGTGTTTTATTTGAACTGACCGGAGGGTGTCTGTGATCTCTCTCTGCAGGTTGACAGGTAATGAGCCGTTGTCTATCCTGCCTCTGAACTCTCTACCAGAGGAGAACGTGGGCAGGGCCCACTACAAGCTGTGCGACCGGCTCAAACTAGAAAAGAAGCAACGCAGGATGTGCAGACGAGACCCGGGCGTGGCCGAGACCCTCAGAGAGGCCATCACCATGAGTGCCCTAGAATGCCAGTATCAATTCCGCTTCGAGAGATGGAACTGCACCCTAGAGGGGCGCCATCGAGCCAACATACTAAAGAGAGGTACGAGTTTGGCAAACGTTGGCTTTATTCTCTTTCTCTTTAGTCCCTGTTTGGGGTTAGAAGCCATTTTTATTCCACCCATAATAATGATGGTATTTGGTCTGTGTTTCCCTTTGTTTTTAAGGATTTAAAGAGACAGCCTTCTTGTACGCCATCTCCTCGGCGGGCCTGACTCACGCGCTGGCCAAAGCTTGCAGTGCGGGACGCATGGAGCGCTGCACATGCGACGAAGCCCCAGACCTGGAGAATCGAAAAGCCTGGCAGTGGGGGGGCTGCGGAGACAACCTCAAATATGCAAACAAGTTTGTTAAGGACTTCCTGGGCAAACGCTCCAACAAGGACCTGCGTGCGCGTGTCGACATGCACAACACAAATGTGGGCATGAAGGTGAGTGTGGGATCTCCCCGTTACACAATCACTATAAATAATTAATTCTCTGGTTACCTTTTGACCCATTTTAAACTCCAGCTCATCGCCAGCCTTTGTTCAATCATAGACACCGGAGAATTACATTTATGGATTTATTAGTGGGTCATCTTTGGAGAGAGATGAAACAAAACATCTCCATGAAAGCTGGGAAAGGAAAACTGAACTGACTGAAGTAATTACCAGTGAAAATTCGATGAAATCTGAAAGTACTCATTAGTCAAGATGTGGTTTTCTTTCCTAGATTAGATAAACTTTGGCATTAGCTCTCTGGCACATTTCAGTGTTTTTTCATGCTGAACAAGTCTAATTGCATTTTGGGAGTATGTTTTATAGTAAGATTACAAAAGAAAAAGGGAATAGTCGAAATCCCTCCAGCCAAAGCAAACTTAAGATCAGAAATCTGCTGCATTTACTGAGCTCCCCTCATACTTAAGCTATTCTCATTTTGGTTTCAGAATGAGTTATAGCAGAGGCACACTTCCCAAAAGTTTGCAGACACACAACTCTTCCATTAGACCATCGCAGGCTCTTCCTTTTCAGCTTGGCTCTCAAAGATAAAGTCTCTCTGGAGATTTTGTTCGCGATAAAAGATTTACAACATTATTTTTGCTCCTCTTTTTTTTTTTTTTGGTGATTCACACGTGTCGTGAGGTGTACCACATTTTGCTCAGGACAAATTCCCACACTGAGAGCAAAAGAGGAATGTGCAAGCATCTGCAGCCCCCCGACATTTAAAAGCTGACCTATCAAATTTTCTTGACCTGCTGGTGTGATGAATATGCACTTCCTGTTCCCCCCAATCTCTTTCACAGTCTGAGAAAAGAGCTGCAGACTCTATTCGACCCCCGTCTCAGACAATGTGTTCTTGTCATTGATTTTTGCGCACGCGCTGCTTTTATATTGTGGTCGGTGCACATGTGAACTTTGGCTGACCACTAAAAAGGTCAAGGAGAGTGTTGTGGTCATGAATGCTGAGTATCTCAAGGTGACACCTGCTTTTATGTTTGATTTTGTAAAGGAGACGACTTTTCTTACTATTCTCCTTCTTTCTGTCATGACTTTGGCAAAACTGTGTGGCGACACTATGAACACACCAGACGATGGGGTTGATGGACTCTAGGTTTAGAAAACATATTAAGAGGAGAGAGACAAGAATAGCATCCAGTGTTTTCTATTTTTTTTGCATATTTCTCTGAGCTGATTGTATATGAGAGAAAACTTCTACCAAATTGCGCCTCACTCATGATAATAGTGTTTATTATACTATTAAAACAGATCCATCCTCCCTCAAACACAGCCTGTCCCTCTTTTAAGACAAAGTGGTCTATTGTCGTCCATAGAAACTATGTTTAAGTTGGTTTATATGGAATATGTGAGGACTGTTCCCCCTTTCATTATAATATCAAAAAGAGCAGTGATTGTTATAATTTTACATTCCCCTCTAAACCACGGCACTCAACTCTAATTATCTAACTATGAGTGTGTTTTGGTAATAAAGGACTTTGAAATACTGTTTACCAAACAAAGTTGAAGAGCTTTTTTCACATTCCTGTGATAGTTCATGGCGGTGACGGTATTTTCTGTTTCTGTACCAGGTGATCAAAGCTGGAGTGGAGACCACTTGTAAGTGCCACGGTGTCTCTGGCTCCTGTACAGTCCAGACCTGCTGGAGGCAGCTCCAACCCTTCCACGAGATTGGCAAGCAGCTCAAGCAGCGCTACGAGACCTCCATCAAGGTCGGAAGCTCTACCAACGAGGCCACAGGAGAAGGAGAGATCTCCACAGGCCGGAGCCAGCAGCAGCAGCAGCAGCCGCAGCAACCCCCTCCTGGGCTGAGTGATCAGATCCCTCGCACCATGGACCTGCTCCACATTGAGGACTCGCCTAGTTTCTGTAGACCCAGCAAGTACTCGTCAGGCACGGCAGCCCGCAAGTGTTACAAGGATAAGAACTGCGACGCAATCTGCTGCGGGCGAGGCCATAACACGCAAAGTAGGGAGGTGACCAGGCCCTGCCAGTGCCAGGTGCGCTGGTGCTGCTATGTCGAATGCAAGCAGTGCACGCAGAGGGAGGAGGTTTACACCTGCAAAGGGTAAACCAGTCGACTTCAAGGATCTGTGGAGCACATAAAAGATGGCTGTGTCAGAAGAGTGGTTGATTTGTTCTCAAACAAGGTTTTGCTTCCGCTATTGGAGCAGCGTTCTGCAAACATAAGAGGAGCGAGCCAATAGAGGAGCAACAAGCACTTTGAGGGATTTCTGTGGGTTGGGTGTCAGAGGTCCTGTGGCCCCCCTTTTGTCTGGGGTTTGCAGTTGAAAAAAAAAACTTCTCAGACAACTGGGTCAACATCTCAAGCTTTTTTTTTTTTTTTAACGTAGATTCTGGCCTGAACACAGAAGCTTTTTTTTCTCCCAAACAAAAAACAATCCAGTTGAATCTTTTCACAATGACACATACAGTATATCCAGCTGGTGGAGATCAAAAACAAGACCAATCACACCATTGGACTGGTTTCTGGAGCCTTGCTCAAGGAAGAATGGTTTGTGTGTGTGTGTTTGTTAATCTCTACATGTGTATGTTTGTATGTGAGCACAATGGAGTGAGAGGATTGGACTACGACGACTTTTATGCAATGAAATCCATATTCAGAGACTGCTTAAAAGAAAAAAAAAAAGACAGGGTGTAAGATTTACATTACACGCACATATTTACACTCACACACATTGTGTGTTTGCATATGTATGTAAATAAATTCAGATATAGTATTGAAATTATACACGCCACTTATCTAACTATGTTAAAACAAACCACTAACCACACAAATGTTTTGGTGTTTGTGTGCTCTTGCTCGTTTTTCTTCTTGATTCATGTCGACAAGGCCCTTTTGAAAGCAGCACACTCATGTCCGTTGCCTTGCTGTGGATAATTTATAGATCCTTTGGGACTACTCCTTTACAAGGAGAAAAAAAAAAGATCACAATTTCATTCTTGAAAGACTATAATATGAAGCTGTTAGTAAATGCATTAACAGATAAAATTATACCAGTCTGTTTGGGCTGTTCTTGGCCTTGAGCGAACCAGAGTTCAGGGAAAAACTGAAACCACTATAATTGTTTGGCAATAGAAGGAGAGGAAGAGTGCAAATACATTTAGTATTCAAGTTGTATATGACAGTTGCTTTCTTATAACAGCTAAGATAACAGCAGCAGGTGATCATCCGTAAACAGTCCACCTCCTCCCCAGACAGAAAACGTGGAGATCTGTTGAGCCTAAATCTATGTATGATTATTGATTTTATATTGAACTTCAGATACTTTGGAGTTGTAGAGAAAACTGTGGAGAACTGGAGGAATGTAGCCCCCTTATTTTTTCACATCCTTTTTTCCTCCTTCGCTGCCACAATTTGATTGAGCCATATTCAACCCAAGCAGACATGTACAGCATGTACAGCAGGAGCTGCGTAGGTCTGTCCAAACAGTATGGGGCAACTGAGACGGAAATCTAACTTGACACATCTGCAGAGTTACTCAAGCAAAGATGAATGCGTAAGTCTCTGGCTAATATAAATACATTCAGAAGACTAATATTTGTGTAATGTTCGGGCAAATTGGTGCCTGAATGCAAACATTGGGGGTTTGCAGATCTGTTGTCTTCATCCAGAAGTCAGTGAAGTCGTTTTGAGACATGAGTTAAATTACTTTTTGTGTTGTTGCTTGGCAAAAATGGACTCAGTTAAAATAATGCCTTTATACTGAAATCTGTCACGCATCTACAGTGACAGTTAAAGGAGCAGTCCGGCACACACTGATCGCTTTCTCGTGGAGAGTTAAAGTAATGAAGGTCCCAAGGCAAACGCTTAAGAACTCACCATTTAGCATTTTATTTTCAGTAGTTTGTCATTTTTTATTGTACGGTTGTAGTTTTGTACTTTTTAGACTAAATCACCAAAATCTCATTGCAGATGTGTGAAGTCAATAGTGACGGTAAAAGTTCATCTGTAAACAAAGCCAGGCTAACAGTATCCATCTCTCCCTACTTAAAGACTAACTTTTTATTAAGAGAGTCAAACTATGGGGCTAACTTCTTCTAAATAGCGCCATGAAAGTCAAATTTGTAGAGTCAAACAAGCTGTATCCACCTGCTACTACTCAATATGCTAAGCTTAGCTACCAGGCCAGCTGTAATAACCTCGCTACTCTTACTCTCCTCAAGAAAGTAGATTTATATCCTTTAATGATCCGTTGATTTACCGTATAACCCTTAACATTGTTAGAAATGCCTCTATATACGCAAACAATGCAGACAGTAAGATTTCACTGTTTTCTCAGCACTTGGCTTCTAGGAACATTATGTGACATACTAGAAGAAATGACTTGTTTTTGATGGGTGTGAATTAACTACTGAGTGAGGGACCCAGCTTTGTATGATAGCGCCATTTACGCACTGAAGCCCCAAAGCCCTTTAGAGTATTTTAAGATCTGTGTTTATAGTAGATACAGCGCAGTGCAGAATCTTTATTTTTTCTTTTTCTTTAATTGTAAATAGTAAAAAAAAAAGGTTTCTTCTCCTGTGGTATACAGACAAAGGTGAGGCACATGTTCAATGCTCACAAGCAATATGCAGAAATTAGTAGCAATAAGTAAACACAGCTGCTGTTGCAGGTTGTAACTGAATAAACATCCTTAAAAGTGGCTTCTACCTTTAAAGATGACTATCACAATACTCTAAAATAAACCACCGCCCTCCACAGGCATATCAGGCTTTTGAAAGAGAGTCTGCCATGGGTTATTTGTCCCGAGGACATGAATTCCAAGCATTTTGATATGAGGTGGCATGCCAAATAAAGACTGGTCAAAACATATACATAGAACTTTGCACGCTACATGGAAACCATAATAGCTATGCTGAGATTCGAAGCACAAATGCCTGCTTCCCACAACTTTCTGTGTACACCATCTCCACACACATACACACACATACACACACTCCTGAGGTTCTCTATTACTGACCTGATTCAAAACAGGCATGACAGGAATACCAAAATCACACCAAGTGCATTCTTGTTTGTTTATAGATTGTACATAGGCCTCACAAGTCCTCGAGAGGAAGAGGAGCATGAGGCAGCAGCCAGTCAGATTTTCATATTCCTAAATTCAAAACTCTGCACTGTTTAGTCGTCAATAGATCATGTACAAAATTCTGTTTTGTAGAGAAAAATAAAAGATAAATTATTTTTAAATATATTATGAGCATGTGTTTAGTGTAAATACATCAAAGTCTAAATTGATTTTATATCCTGTATTTTTTACTCTTTTTTTTGGGGGGGGGGGGGGGGCCTCTTTTGGGGTGGAGGCTTCAAGAAGCAGTGTATACTCAACATATTTCATTTCATATCTCATCCTTCGCTGTTATTTAAGCACTAACAAATCCTAACAAATTTAGAATCAACTCATGTTTTAGCAACTCATGCCTTGTACTCATGTGCACGATCACCACACATTTTAAGTTTTCAAACAAAATCACAGTTATCAACAGTATATTTTTATAGGGTCTGATCTGTTTGTATAATTGAGTGTTATGTGAAAGACTTTGTAATGTTGGTTATCACCGTATGATGCCTTATAAACTCATGACAGCGACGGTGCGGATGAGTTTATCCTCACCTTTGGATCACTTTACATGTACACATACCTTTTGTTAGGATTTGTGCTGTGCTTGTAAGACAAAGATAAAACACACTAACCACGTGTTGCTCTTTGTGATGATACAACGCCAACAAAGCTTTGTCCATGTTCACTTATTCATGTCTTATGGGAACCCTAAATTATTTTCCTCTACCTCATGTGTATAGCTTGTAGGTATAAACAGATCACAAATGACTGGTAAGAATGTATTTAAGTTATTTAACATCTTTGTATAACAAAGGCGAAAAAAATCTGAAATAATAAATGAATTTTTAAATTACTCCATGTGGTTTTTGTTCTTCTGTTGGATCAAAAAAAGTCTTATTCTGAGTTACACAACTATTATTAAAACTACAGCTTCTCTAAATGTTTTAACCTTTTAAAAACCAAGCCTTTTTTTACATGACTATATTCTTTCAGAAATAGCACAGTGGTGGCTCTGCGATTGTTCTGCATTAGCTAGGGTCCCCCAATTGGGGGCCCCTGATTTTTAGAGGGTTAAAGGTCCTTCTTATATAGACAATTTTTTATTGATTCAATCTTAAACATAATAGCAGGCAGATTTAGGTTTTAACGATCTGCCCTTGAACTTTAAAATACTCAATATTAAAAAATAAAAAAAATCTCATAGCTTCTCAATCAGGATCAGAATTTTTCATATTAGCATTAGCACTAATGTGACGATCAGTGGACTAGATTAGGGTGACCATGACTGAAAGTCAGGACAATGAGATACTCAAACGATACTCAAAGTTTACTCAAAGTACCTTATAAATTCAATACATTCAAAACATGCCTCCTCTGTATAGATAGAAAATTGTCATATTACCAAAAATACCATCTATAAAAAAAGACTCAAATTTAGATAGGCCTCTCAGAGGTTACGCAACATGTTTTATCTTGACAAGTTGCAAAAATAATGAATGATAAAATGATAGAAATAATGTCTGTTCTGTTTTAAATAAATAAATAATAAATAGCTAAAAAACCCTTTTTTTAAAATCCAAATTTAACAAAAATTTCTCTCACAAACTTACAAAAACTATCCAACAAAAAATATCTATATTCTTCATCCTAGTGGCCCAAGGAAAAACCAAGAAAACCAGGACATTTTAATCACATGATAAAAACAAGCAGAATGGCCATGACAGGACGTGAAAACAGGAAATGCCCTGGGAGACCAGGACGTTTGGTCACCCTAGACCGAATGATCAGTTACTCTGCCATTACATGCATTTTAATGCTATGATCCCTGCAAAAATAGACACTTCAATTCACTTGGACATTTACTGATATTGTAAAGACCTGTAAGCGTCCTGTAAGCGTCCTCAAATTTTCAGGAGTGAAGTGCACATTGGGCCAATGGACACCACACCTCCATGCTCCTCCCATTGTGAGATCATGTGAAGCCAAAGCACCGCCTCCGAGGGTGCTGACATATTGTACTGGTGGGGCCAAGGCATGCCCA